TCTTTGGTTAGCACTCAGAGGTTCTAGTGAACCTGCCATAGCCATGGAGCTCAGTCACAAACACATAGATCTATAAATTCGCTGAAATCAAATGGATAATACAGTGGTACCTCAGGTTAAGTACTTAATTCGTTCCGGAGGTCCGTACTTAACCTGAAACTGTTCTTAACCTGAAGCACCACTTTAGCTAATGGGGCCTCCCGCTGCATGATTTCTGTTCTCATCCTGAAGCAAAGTTCTTAACCCGAGGTAATATTTCTGGGTTAGCAGAGTCTGTAACCTGAAGCGTATGTAACCTGAAGCGTATGTAACCTGAGGTACCACTGTACTTGTACGGGTAAATGCTGAGAACCGTATCCTAATCTGGAGTAGACATCGCTGAATTGTCTTCTCAGAGCATCTTGTCAGAATCAACTGAATTTGGTTCTACTATATCAGCAGCACATGGAATCAGTTAATCCCTACATCAACCCTGTGAGGTAGGTAAAGGGGCTGTGACTGACTCCAAGGTCACCAAGTGAGCTTCATGACTGTGTGGGGATTTGAACCCTGATCTCCCAGGTCTCAGTCCGACACCTTAACCACTACACCACCAGGGCTTCCTATAGTCCTACTATGGGGCAGCTCTATAAATTAAGTAGGTAAATAAATATGGGGAAAACAAAATGTCACTTAGAGAAGGTTCTGAAATATTTTCCTTGAAGCTTGCATTAGTTTTATTCTGGATTGTTTTATTTGATATTTTAATGTGTTATAAACCACTCTGAGTCCCCCCCCTTTTAAAATATGAAGTGGTATAGAAATGAAAATATAATCATAATAGAAAATTGGTCTACAAGGGGCTAATAGATGATTTCACTCATCTTCGTCTAGGACCACATCTGCCCCTTACATTTAAAGCAGCATTATACCACTTAAACGGTCACAGAATAGAAAAAGTGGATAGAAAAAAGTCCTTCCACCCTCATAAACCTATAACTGGTAGACATGCAATGAAGCAGAATGTTGGTAGATTCAGCAGAGACGAAAGAAAGTACTTTGTCACATGTGGCATAGTTGAACTATAGAATTTGCCCCCACAAAAGGCAGCGATTGACACCATCTTGGATGGCTTTGAAAGAGGGTTAGGCAAATTCATGCAGGGTAAGTCTATCAAGAGCTGTACCAAGAACATTTGAGCTTTTAACAAAGCGAATAATTTAAATAAAACATGCTCCATGCACCATGATCTCTATGGCCCTCAGGGCACAGTCAAGAACTTTGAAGTTGAAATGGATTGAAACTGCAGAATATTGACTTCCAGAGCAACAGGCCACCTTTGTACTCTTGTGGGTCATGACCATGCCATGGTGGTGTGCAACATTTCCCCAGACAAGTAAGAGCACATGCCCTGGCTGTTATCATCTGACTCTTGAACTGTCACCACAATTGTCATATATATATAATTTTCTGTTTTATTTAAGTACTCGTTTTTACACCCTTAAGATATCAGTGACTTCCCTCCTTCTCTTTCTATGGTTCATTTTACATATCAAAAATCCCTGCATATTTCACAAAAACTATACCATTCAGTAGTCCATTATTACATCCATCAAAACTTATTTACACTGTTGAATTTATCTTAATGCTGCCAGCATTTTCAGCTATACACAGTTATTTCCCATATATTCAATAAACAATTTCCAATCTTCTTTAAATGTGTGTTCTTCTTGTTCTCTTATTCTATATGTTAGGTCCGCAAGCTGTGCACATTCCATCGGTTTAAGTTGCCATTCTTCTTTAGTTGGAACCTAGCTTGTTTTCCATTTTTGGGCTAACAAAACATGGGCCACAGTAGTGGCATACATAAATAACCTTTTTTTTTTTGACACCCGGGAATTTCAGTCTGAATTATCCCCAACAGAAAGGACTTTGGGTTTTTTGGGAAAGTACTTTTAAAACATTTTTTTCCAATTCTTTATGGATCATTTCCCAATACTCTTTTACCACTTTACAAGTCCACCACATATGAAAGAACGTTTCCTCAACCTCTTTGCATCTCCAGCACTTATCTGATTCAGCCTTATACATATTAGCAAGACTACTGACAGTTAAATGTCACCACAATTTTTCAAAGGTTTTGTTTAGGAAGTCAGTACAGCATCCCAACATAGGTCTACAGGTTACAAATGCACGGTACACAGCTCGGCATCACTTAAGATGTTATTCCAATGATTTACATGTCTCTTACACTCTCCTTAGGAAGAGTGGCGCAAGCTATTCACGCGGTTGACATCCTAAGGCTTGAGCCTGGACAAGCAAATGGGTGCTCCTCTGTAGAGACTGGGCACGTAAGGTTCGCTCTTGTAGCACTGCCACATCCATGCCCTTGGAAACAGAGGTGGAGTTGATGGAGCCGGTTCACCATTGAACTTATCCCCAGGTGCCACCTCAAAAGAGAAAGACTCTTCACTGACAGAGGAAGGTGCATTAGCCTCCTTAATGAGCCGTGAAGGTTACACCAGTGGTATCCAATAACACAGAGGTGGTATATTCTCCACACAATCTGCTCAGGCCTTCGCTTGGATCCAGATCTCCATCTCCCAAGCTGCTAGGATCCCCCTTAGGTTAGTCTCCTCCTGGCATCCTGCATTCTCATCCTACAGCCTGCTGGGTCTTCTGCCAGGTCAGTCCCCTCCAATTCTCTGATCTTAAGTCCCCACACCCCATGCCCTACGCCATAAACTTCCAAATCTCCACTTGATACAGTGCCTCTGGAGAGATGACTTCCCTAGCCCCTGGGCAAAAATAATACATGGGAAACTTGTGTCCCTAGGACTATCTCCATCTGAACTATTAAAATTGGATTTAATTTCGGCCAAAAGAATTATAACTCACAAATTAGAGGAGATGGATTTACAATTTAATATTGCGACAGGTGGTGGCACCTGTTCGCCGATAAACCTTGGCTTAACACCACCAACGAAACTTCCATCTTACTTAACTACCTTATCTGTGGTGACGCACAGGTATGCCTTTATAATGGCTAGATTCAATGCTTTCCCATCAAACGTGTTGGGTAACAGACTCTCCAACGGACAGATCTCACTCCTCTGTGACTGTAAAGCGGATCTATAGAATCGTTATATCATATAATCTTCTGTTGTCCATTACATTCGGCTTCACGGTCCAAGTTTCTGGCCCCATATTTATCGAGAATTGCTGACAGTCCTCAGGAAGCCCAAATAATATACTTATTTAACGACGAAGATACAAGTAGATCCCTTGCAGTCGCTAGATACCTGATTAATGTTTTATTTCAAAAGAGGAGAAATGGATCACTGTATGTTTCTGACAGCTTAGCTAAACTTAAGAACCATCAATAAGTGCCAGAACTAAGACGTATACCCCCAAAATCTGATGGATCGGAATTGCGGTTTACATAGAGGAGCTTATTGTGTATAGTGTTTACTTAACTAAAGTAAAATCGGTTTTATAAGGGTGTTTTAACTTGGAACTGTTTAAATTGTATTGTTTATGGATAAATTCTGATGTATTGTTTTCGATATGGGCCAATGGCCGCAATAAATAAATCTTACATGCCCTACGCCAATCACAACATTTAGTTGTTGCAGTGTTACATTTCACATTTTTAAAGTTTCATTGATGCATCAAACTCAATGAATGGATATGTGCTGGGCCCGGGGGTAACCCGTGAAACGCGGTCCAGGACCGGTCCAGAATCCGAAGGTTCCGCCAAGAGTCAGTCCGACAGGGCCAAGGCAGGACATGAGGCAGGAAACCAGGCAAGGACAGGTACAGGATCTCACACAGGATCCAGCATACAGCAATGTTGCTCCCGCAACCTGGGGTGGGATCCGACAGCCTTTGATCTTTGTCGGGGTAGCGGCTGGTCCTGATACCCCTGCGACTCACCTCCCTGTTTTGCCCGAAGGCGAGCACTCCTCCTGCAGGTACTCAGGTCTCTCCTTCTCTCAGACCTTAGTCTCTGCAGCTCGGGAGACGTCGGTGGGTTACTAGACCCAGGGACTGCCTCAGCCTCCCCTGATCAAACCAGTAGTGGAGAACTGTAAGTGATGACCCAGCTGAAGGTAACGAGGTAATCCTTGCATCTGGAGCCAGGGCAGGCTCAGGCCCCTGACTTGGCCCAGCTGGTGTTTGTTGCAGGGGAACCTGTGCAGACTGGGACTCTTCATGATCAAGGCCCAGACTTGGTTCAGATGATGCCTGAGGCAAAGGATCCGGTGCAGACCGAGACTCCTCTGGTTCCGAGTCCGAGCCCGAGTCCCAGGCCATCACAGGATTCTTAATGGTAAATAGCTGGTGTGGGGATAGCTGTATGGATTGGGACCCTGGTGGAGGAGGAGGAAGGACTTTATTCTTGCCATGGTCATGATGACCCATATCAACACACAGACACACACCACCAATATCTACTTTTTACACACCAGTCACACATTGGCCAGTTACACACTTTGTGTGAATGCTGTCACATTTAGTTTGACCCTAACTTGCAGCTGTGTCGGGAACAAACCCATCTTTCTGCCCCCAGCCTCATCAACAGGGGCACCTCATAAAAATTACACAGTAAAAAACCAGTGAGGTTGTGTCTTGTGGCTTTTTTTTTTTGGGTGTCGTGGTTAGTAAATTCTCAGAAGCGATGGTGGAAAGTAAGAGACTCAATGATGTCATTTTAACTCATCACTACCTATCTCTCGAACAAGGTGGCAATGGGTATATATAGGGGAACCCTCAACTCCTTCACAGCACAGCAAAAACATCACAAGTAAGTAATAATTCCAAGTGCTTATATAATTATATTTCTGCATGTTGAAATGTAAGTTAGATGCATAATTTATAAAGCAAAATTATTATTTTTCACTATAACGTTAATAGATCTTTGTCTATCTTCATTGGGAAATTCTCCTTCTGTGCGTCTCTAGAAGGTTCAAAGACTGCAGCTGCGACTTGGCTGAACTTGCCACCTTTCTTGGGGAGCCATGAATCCACTTGAGAATGGAACCAGATGCTTCCTTGTCTGGGTGTTCTGCTGCACTTGCCTCCCTCTCATCTTCTTGGCAAGCCCCGTACCCTTGAAGGACGCAGTTATTCATACTAACCACTCCTGCGAACTCACGAGAAACAACTTCCAGAAAACCTACTTCAGGAATCGTACATATACTTTAGCCAGCCAGGTAAAGCAATTGGTCCGCGTGCTGCAGTTTTATCTGCACAGCTCTCATATGCTTTGTACTGTCTTGTGATTTCCCCACTTTTGCTCCTTGACATCCTTCCATCCTGAAAGGATGCTAACCTGCCTTCAGGTATGTGCATACTTTAAGTATGTACGCCGCTTTGGGAAACCACAACCCACAGGATTATATTCAGCTGCCTAGGAAGTGTGACCTTCCAGAGCTCGCTTTATAAACAATTAGCTACACAACCCACTCATGGCTATCTTCTACCTATGGGACTGGCAAGTGTGGGGCTTTTAACGTTTTGTTGATGCTCTCAGTTAGTTCTGCTTTTCGCTTCCGATCTGTTAGGTAGCTCATTGGGCCTGCTTACCTTCTGCAGCTTTCACACTCACCAGGCCAACACTAACACTATAACTCCTTGGCATCCTTTTCTATAGTTCCATGTCATGGGCAGCAGTCTCCTCCAACTCAGCTGGAGAGCTATATAGACTCAGGGAGCTTGTGTGCCACAGTGCAGAGCTTTTAAAAAAGTAGAGCCTCATCTTTCTGCCACACTCTCATTCTCTCTCTCCCTCTCTTTTAAATAGGGAAGACACTTTGATAAGGACACAGATAACAGATTTGTTGGGCAGCATCTATACACCAACATCAAGGTGAGATTCCCATGTGCATTAAACAATATTTTTATTCTCTCTTTGTACCTTCCTATTCTCTTGTTGTTCGAGGTACATAATTTCATTATCTTGTCTTTGCAGGCGAATGATCGCTGCTACCTAATGAAGAGATTAACTGATATTGTGGTGACAGACGTCCTCATGACCCTCTCTGGGGACAAATATCCCAGCGCCCAGGAAGTTGCAAGTTTCTTGGCCGATTTGAATAGGAAACTGAAGGGCTGTGTAAGCATCATCTATAGCTGTAGTCTGTCTCTGTTTCCCACCCCTGATCCTCTGCTTCCTTGGTATTTCACCTGCTTGGATGCTTTTCCTCTAGGGAGGTGGGGGAGCAGGGTATTCAACTTGCGTCTGTGGCTGGTAGTTGGCAATATATTTCTAGACAAGGCAAGGTAGCAAATCACCAGCGCCGAAGGTAAAGGAGGAAACCTCAAATCAAAACATCCAATCTTTCTGCCGTCAAGTGCAAGACAAGCGAAAGGTGTGAAATGAAAAACCACATTGTGACTTAGCTGCATTCCTTCCTTTTCAGAAACCACTGGGAAATAAAGAACACATTGAAAGGAACCTGCAGCAAATGAAAGACAAATTACAACAGGTATGTTGCTTTGTAAAATTTGTTCTATTTTATTTATGTACCACTTGAATGAAAAACAACAACAACCCTCAAAGCAGTTCATGAAAAAGATTTTTTTTAAAAAAATATTAATCTCCCTTTTTTTTTCTTAGTTGAGTGCTAGTTCAAATGTTTAGAAATGGCATGTTTTATACAGTCTTCACAGACTGTAGTCCCTCAGAATACGCTCAGGGAATAAGGTTTGAATATAGAATCATAGAATCATAGAAGAGTTGGAAGAGACCACAAGGGCCATCGAGTCCAACCCCCTGCCAAGCAGGAAACACCATCAGAGCACTCCTGACATATGGTTGTTAAGCCTCTGCTTAAAGACCTCCAAAGAAGGAGACTCCACCACACTCCTTGGCAGCAAATTCCACTGTCGAACAGCTCTTACTGTGTCTCATCAGCTCTAGCCAGCAAGGCCAACGGTTAGAAACCCCTCCATGTCAGCCAGCCTTGCATTGTAGCTGCATTTGCTTAGCTCACATTCATATCTGTTCCCTTTGAACTTCTATCCAGTACAAAATGTTTTGCCGCCTGAAGGTGGAATAAAAAAAAAAATGCAAGCCTTTCGCATTTCATTCAGCGGTGGAATTGTTGTTGTTGTTGTATGTTTAGTCCAGTAGTGAATCCATTGAGGTTTGATAAGGAGAAATCTGTCAGTTTTGGTTTCTCACCGTTTCTATTTTTTTTAAACAAACTTAAGTTCAGGTTCCACATGAGTGACATTTCCACTTTTAAAAAGTGCTCCTGAAAATTAACCAGCAGTTTAGTGCTGATTTCATCAAAAATACATACAATTGCATGCAATTCTGTCTCATATATGCATTTTTGTAAAGCATATTCCCCTTATATTCATATTTTCCCTAATATAATGTACTTTTGTATGCTATTTTCACCAATATATGCATTTATACCCATGCTTTATTTTGGTAAAGGATGGCTGTGTTTTGGTTCACATATTGTTTGCAAATACGGTGCAAATTAGGTAGATTTGCTTTTAGGCAGATTTGCCTTTAAATGTGTGCTAAATTGAGGTATTGTCTGCTATCCCCTTCACCAATCCCTTTAAATAAATAATTATGCAAAATATAAATGAAGTAATTCATTCTTATCAGAATCTAACAGAACTCAATGGAAGATCCAAAATGACCCAAATTGGATCAATAGTACTATAGAGAAAAAATGTTCAGGCTGTTCAATGAGCATTCTTGCAGTGGGGTCTTAGTCTCATTCTGCTTTGGTGAATTGTCCATTCTGATGAAGAAATTGTTTTTGCTTTGATTTTACAGTTGGGAGAAAATGGGAAAAACAAAGCAGTCGGTGAACTTGATTTGCTGTTTGACTACCTGGAGGATGCCTGCACTGTAGCACTCAAAGCCCCCAACAAGAGCCACAAAGGCAAGAAGAACAACAACAACAACTGAGTGGGCAATCAGGATCATTGCAGCTTCCTTCGGTGGTGGCCTCTGTGGAACAAGGACAAATGCAATGGTTCACTTTTAAAGGCACAAATGTTTTTACCCATACAGAACTCAACGGACGTATGCTTTCATGAGACCCATTTTAAAGTATCGATCCAGCAGTTCTCAAACTGCTTTATCTGGATTAGTGGCAAACTTTGACAGAACATCTCTACAGAGTGAATCGAGGGCATAAGTTAGCCTAATGCAAAACAAATTTACTTGAAAGGAAGGGCCACCTCAGACATGTGATTGGAAACTCCTCTGGACCTGTCCACAAAATACAACTCACACCAGTGAAATGGAGGGATTTAGTCTTGATTAAGGGAGGGTATTGAGGGAAGGTTGGGAGATTAAGAAGGCCTTTAAAAATGAGGCCGCTACTCAACTTGTGACTCTGCTGGGCTCAGATGGAGCATCTATTTTGTTACTTGGTGCCTCTGTAACAAAGACCCCAGTTTTGGTGCTAGCAGAAGAACTTCTTGAGCCACCACCACCATGGGAATTAGGGTGTTAATGTTTAGATCAGCCTTCCCACAACCCAGAACCCTTCAGATGCTTTGGTCTACAACTCTTATCATAGCAGACATTGATCATGCTGGCTGGATCTGGTGGGAGTTGTATTTCAAAACATCCAGCAGGTACCAGGTTAGGGAAGTCTGATACAGACAAGCCACATGGAAGCATCTCTTCAACCTGGACCTCTTTATGAGCCTGGTGGCCCTGCATCCATTGATATGCTTGCTTTGGGATCTTTTCTTGAAAAAGGCCAATGGTTTCAATGGAATTCATTTTCAAGTCAAATGAAATCTAGGGAAAACGTGCCAAGCACTCTGACTGAAAGTTAAGTTCCTTTTTAACACATAAAATTGGATCTTCCGATAGCAAACTTGCTTAATTACATCTAGTTAACAGGTATCTGAAGAATCTTTCCCTTTTCTGTTTACTTCTCTCCAGAGGACAAAGTGTATTGCCTTATTTAAAAACCATTTTAGCAGATAGTACTATTTAATTATAATTTATTTAAAATTGTATCGCATAATTTATATGAGTGGAGATTTATTTATATGATTTAATATTCTGTACCAATCTAGGAAATGTTTATGAGTTAAGCTTAATGGCAGCTTTTATGTCATAATGATGCCCTGTCAAAGTTGATCATGTCCATTTTATTTATTATGAAAATATGTATTGACTTAAAAAAAGGAGTTCCACACATGTGGTTATTCATTAAAAAGAAGTAAAAACCAAGCTCAGTGACCTATTTGTTTTGCTTCAGAAAATGACATGGACAAGAAATCAATAGATTTCCCCCCCCAGCCTGATGTGTAAAATGAGCATGGGACAATATGTTGTGCTAGTGGTATGTTAGCTGAAGGTTGCTGAAGAACTCTAGAACGATGTTCCATGACCCAATTACTCCCGAATCACAACTTTCCTGTGTCTTTTCATTAGAGGTTTGAGAAAGAACCTAGCTCAGTGGTCCCAGGTTCCAATCCCTCACATCTCCTAGGAGGGCTGGGAATGTCTCCTGTCTGAAACCCTGAAGATCCACGGCCAACCACATAAGACAATACTGAACTTGATGGACCTGTGGCCTGACTTGGTGTGCGATAGATCCACGTTTTTCTAGGGCACTTCTACACTAGGTATTTACACTGGATTGTTAGTCTTTATCCACTCACTTTTAGAATGCAATGCCAGAGTTGGTGATGTGTTGCAGGAAAGTCTGGAAAGCAGATGTGAGGAACCACATTGGCCATGCTTGATGATGGATGCTGTAGTTCACAAAAGGTTCCACACTCCTGCTGGAGAGGCGTGGGCTTTGCCAGTAAGAGAGAACAATCCGTACTCTTTGCCTGAAGTCAGGTGCTGGGTCAGTAGCTTAGGGGAACTGTGGGAGTGCAGAACTCTTGGATTACTTTCAGGGAAGTGGTGGAGGTACAGAGGAGGAGGGGACTTTTCACATGGGGAACGACTTAGCATTACACCATCCCAGCACTCCCAGCTTCCAGCCCTCTTTGCATGAGTTCTGTGCCCTGTTTCCTCAGATATTGTACTAGCTGTTCTTCTATTAGACCTCCCATAATAGCTTACATCAAAAGAAACTTAAAAATAAATTCAAAAGTACAGTTCCGGTGCTGGATAAAAAAACAACCCAGAGAGCAACCTTACCCTCAGTTAACTGTGGCTCTGCTAAATATTTCTCCATGGCTAACAGAATCACTTGTCTTTCCCCATTGCCACTGATGAAATCAGTTCAGCGTCAACAGCACACGTCTCAATTGCAGTAGGGCTAAGGAGCTGGTATCCCAGCACTGTTACAACACTTAGCATGAGTCTGGGAAAAGTTTTGCGCTATTGCTATGCACATTCTGAAATACATGCAGCTGAAGGAATTTGGGATGGTGTGTGGTGGGGCATGAATGGCTACACAGTTGAAGTCACTGTGGTCATGAGAACAGATGTGTTCGAAAATGCCTGAAGTCATTCATTCATCAGCTGCGACAACAGAGCTATATTTAAGGGGTAGGTGTGTGTCATAGGCAGCATCCACCCCGATCTTCCTTCTTATACTGTCACTGCCATTCTATTGCTCACGTCAATATCCTAGCTAAAAGTCTGTGAACATGTAAAAGGTAAAGGTAACGGGACCCCTGACCATTAGGTCCAGTTGTGGCCGACTCTGGCTCATCTCACTTTATTGGCCGAGGGAGCCGGTGTACAGCTTCCGGGTCATGTGGCCAGCATGACTAAGCCGCTTCTGGCAAAGCAGAGCAGCGCACAGAAATGCTGTTTACCTTCCCGCCAGGGTGGTACCTATTTATCTACTTGCACTTTGACGTGCTTTCGAACTGCTAGGTTGGCAGGAGGAGGGACCGAGCAACGGGAGCTCACCCCGTCGCGGGGATTCGAACTGCCAACCTTCTGATCAGCAAGTCCTAGGCTCTGTCATTTAACCCACAGTGCCACCCATGTCCCACCTGTGAACATGTAGCAGTGACTAAATCCCACCTGTCAGAGTTGGGGGATCTTTGACCCTCCAGATGCCAATGAACTACAGCTCTTATCTGCTGTTGTAGTTCAGCAACAGATGGATGGTCACAGGTTCTCCCTAAACGGCCTCAGCCCCATCATTCAGTCCGGACACTGAGGTCCAGCTCTGAGGGCCTTCTGGCGGTTCCCTCACTGCGAGAAGTGAGGTTACAGGGAACCAGGCAGATGGTCTTTTTGGTAGTGGCGCCAGCCCTCCCTTCAGATGTCAAGGAGATGAGTAACTATATAACCTTCGGAAGACATCTGAAGGCAGTTCTGTATAGGGAAGCTTTTTAATGTTGAATGTTTTACTATGTTTTTATATATGTTGGAAGCTGCCCAGAGTGGCTGTGGCAACACATTCAGATGGTTGTTATTATTATGATGATGATTGACAAAAAAGAGAGCACAAATATGTAATAAAACAAAAATAAACCAATAAGCCTATACGCATCTGCTCAGAAGCAAACCCTGTTGGGTTCTGTGGAGCTTACATCAAGGTCGGGACAGATGAATCCAGCAGTTTCTCTCTCTCTAAGCTTCTGGCGTTTCCAAGCTTCATTTCAGTTCAGCACACTTCCACATCAATTTGTTACAGGGAACCAGGCAGAGGGTCTTTTCGGTAGTGGCGCCTGCCCTGTGGAACACCCTCCCATCAAATGTCAAGGAAATAAACAACACTCTGACTTCTAAAAGACATCTGAAGGCAGCCCTGTCTAGGGAAGTTTTTAATGTTTCATGTTTTATTGTTGTCAGAGCTGCTTCCAGATCCTAGCTCACAGAGGATCACGCTAGCCAGCGATCATTAAACAAAAGTCTTTATTGAGTTACAGTTTCCATTCTCAAGCTGCTGCGTGCAACTCTACGTCTCATGCTTAGATCGGCGAAGCTCCGTCTGAGTCTCCGCCCCTTGTACACCAACTTAATATCCTAGCCCTGCTCCACCTTTTCCGCCTGACTGTTCTTCTCTGGGTCCCTCTGCCCCCCGGGGTCTCTTCCTTCCGGGATTCCTCTGACGCTGACGCTGACTCCCTGACTCTTCTCCCTCCTTTCGGCGGGCTTTAGGACCTGGCTCCCTTTCCGGGCTGCCTACTGCGCCACCTTCCTGTGCATTTGAACTTGCGCGCGCGCCCAACCTTCCACCTTCCGTCTGACCGTTTCTTCGCTCCCCGATGGAGGTGTGGCCACTCCTGACTCGTGCCCTCCCCCCTGTTGTGAGTTGCCAGCGCTTGATCCCTGGCGCCCTTCCTCTTCCCTGCTCTCTGGCGGTGACGTTGGTCCCGATTTCCAACTGCTCCCCTCTGAGTCCCCTCTGGCTCTATCTTCCTGGGGTGTCCCCCGTGGCTCCCCCGTTGCCCTGGCCACTGGTGCTCCTTTCTGTGAATCTTCTGATTCACTGGAAAGACTCGGAGATCTCGGGTCGTCGTCATCACTCATCTTTTCTTCTGCCTCCTCCCCCTCGCTCTCTGTTTCCTCCCTTGCCCTTGCCTCTGCTCCTGAACCCCTGACAATTGTGTTTTTAATATTCTGTTGGAAGCCGCCCAGAGTGCCTGGGGAAACCCAGCCAGATGGGCGGGGTATAAATAAATTATTATTATTATTATTATTATTATTATTATTATTTTCACACTTGCCTTGTTCTTTGAAGAATTAGCTGAGGCTCAATTGTCAAGTTTGGGAAAGGAAATGTAATGCCAAGAATACTTTTGGGTTCTGATTTATGATCCATTTACACATGCCTTGCCCATTAAGGAGGGATGGATGGATCTATCAATTTTGTTTTCTCATTCTTTCCAATCTTAAGTTCAGTTCACCACACTTCCACATCAGTTTGTGTGTTTTTTTAAAAAAAGAAAACTTCCTCATGAAAATTCACCAACATTTTAGTTCGAATTTATCCTAAAACAAGCTTGTATGCAATTATGACA